TCGGTTCACCACTACGATTCAACTCAACGGACATTCTGGCAACATTCGAAAAAATCCACCAAACTATAAAACACAACATTCGCAGTCAAGAAAACTACACGCATCTCAAAACAGAGCTGGCAGGGCACACATCGCTCACTCGTACATCTCATCTTATCACTCGACACCAGCTGACTTCAAAAAACATCCCATCCTTAAAAAAATTCGCAAAAATCCGCAAAAATTCGCGAAAATTCGCAAAATTTTAGTTCTCTACTAACACCACTCGTACCAGATGACCATTCCACTGAAGATTCTTTCACTTTCCACGACGACTTCTCATCTTTCAACCCATCCACCTCTTGTCACAAATTCTTTATCTCCTACGACGTTGAAAGCCTATTCACAAACATATCACCGACTAAAAACATCAACCTAGCAATTGACGCAATATCACAACCCCAGTATCACTATAAACAGGACGGACATCACGCAACTTTTTTCGATAGCGACAGCACAGACGCATTTTTTATTTAATGGAAAATTTTATGACCAGACGGACGGTGTTGCGATGCGTTCTCCCTTAGCCCCCATACTTGCTAACATTTTCATGGGCCCACATGAACGAAACTGGCTAAACAATTACAACGACGCTAAACCACCATTTTACCTCAGTTACGTTGACGGTATTTTTCGTGTTTTTACTAATGCGACTGAGGCCATGAAATTTTATCAGTTAAGGAAACCTTTCCCTACTATATTTATTCACTTCGCACTGAAGATGGTATAAAGTATGCCGAAAATTTTTGCTATAAAGAAATTTGTCGTCTATTTTAAATGACTTGTGATGAACTATTTTAGTTTTGCACCGCTTTCATAAAAAACCGGACTTATACACACACTAATCGACAGAGCATACAAACTGAGCAATACGAACAATGGCTTTTAAAGAGACATAAAAAACATCACATCCACTCTTTCACGAAACTCTTTCCCACTTACACTTTATTAACCGAACTGTAAAACGATATCTCGGCAACAAACAAGGCAATAACCTCAAACTGGACACTGAAACTCCTGACACGACCGTGAAGACCAACACAAATGAAAATCCAAAAATAACAACTCTATACTTCAAACTGCCATACATCGGACATTACTTACGACACACACAGCGCAGACTTACGAATATTATGAAAGGATATTGACATTCGACAAATTTTCACATTATTTAAAATCAAAAACTTCTTCTCATTCAATGACAAATCTCTAATTCAATTAAATCAATGGCGGTATATGAATTCAATTGCGCGGGATGTAATTCCTGATATATTGGCGAAACTTCGCGCCATTTATTCACCAGAATCAGGGAACATACCACAACTGACAAAAACTCTCTACACCTACACCTTCTTAAATCTCACTCATGTAAAACCAACTATTCACCTTTTTGCTTCAGAATCATCGACATTGCAGACACCTCATTCTCTCTTAAAATCAAAGAAGCACTGCACATTAACGAAACTAACCCTGAACTCAATGTTCAAGTTTTTAGTTACAACACAATATTTGAAACTAAAGTGTAGTTAGCAACACACTCCCCATTAATTCATCTCATTACCTTATTATTGTTATAGTATATATATTAAAAAAGTTTGTCCTCTATATTCAATGTACAACGCCCATTAATTTTTTTTAAGTCAGCAGGGACTTTTGATGATCGATAAATGGGGAGAGGTGGGATTGGTGGGTGAGCTGAATATTTATATATGCATTTCCGATTTCTGGTTCATGTTATGATCATTTGTGATTATGTATTATAACATGTGAATATATGAAAGGGCCCATCTGAATTATCAATCTTCCGTGATCACAGATGAATTATTTTGTAGATTTTTTTTGGAATTCCATAAAAAATTATAAGCACAGTTTTAATTGAAGAAAACTTTTCTTTAGTTAAATAATCTTTCGGTGGTAGTTTAGGATTTAAAGTTCATTAAACTTGAATGAATCAAACTTTTCTTTGCTAAATGATAATAAAGTGATACTTTAATGAATCATCATAATTTTGTGTTATACTTGTTCTTGCAATTTTTTAAGGTGTCATTAATTTTATTTCCACATGTTTATCATCAAAAGACTGTACAGCCAGTGCCATGTTTTTTACAAACATTTCAGACTCTGCTGATAAATACAATTTACAGTTAAAAAAGAACGGACCATCTAGAAAAAACACCTGTCTAAACATAGAGAGAAATCTTCAACGCATCACCTTTTCTTTTATTTTTAGATGGTTAATAAAGGCCATTGTGATTCGTAATTTTTTATATGTTGTATAGGCAAGCATTATACGAATAAGGGTCAATTATTTAGTACTGACTGCTGACATAAAATAATGAATATGCATGTACCTTCGTCTGTTAACTATAATTGAGTGTGAACCTGCTTTCAGACAACATTTTATATTCAGCTCATTCTGTAGAAACTATTATAACATCTATTACTATAAATACATCATCCACCAAATTATTGATGTTCTGCGGTGCCAAATGAAGCATTTTCTAATTTTTACGTAACAATTCTATCAATAAAAAAAAAGTTTTTCATCACATAAAAGTTTTCTAATATTAGTAAATAAAAGTTAAATTATACTAAACTTGCACAAATTAAATTTCTCTCGGCTCAATAATAATCAAAAGGAACAATTGCCGTTGCAAAAAATCTAAAAATTGTTTTATTAATATCTCAATTTCCTTGGTGGATGACCAAACTAACATATTAATTCGTAGAATAACAGTATATATTAAGATTAATTACCCGATAGTTCTAAAAGAACTATTTTAAATCTAAAAGACACGATGCATTTCTTCCAAATACTGTTCAGGTGTCAACTTCTGCTAAATGTGTTCTGGTTTTAAACAGTTGTTTTAATTATATTAGGTGTTTTTGGCCATTTCCCATGGGATTTGCAATGTTCAAAACAATAAAAAATTTTTCAATATGGACCAATATCTTAGTTCCAGTTTTGATCCTTCAGGCAAATTATTTCTCGTTCTTTATCATCATAGCTATACCATTTCAAATCAGAGAGGAAGATTAACTTCTGCTCTTAATATAAAGCATTGAGTCTATGCAGCTGCTTAAAAGCCTTTTCATGTATTCAATGAACAATTGCATGCAAGCAAGGGCAAAACGTCATTTAAAGTTTTGCTGGGCTTGACAAGGGCATTCACATTTATTAAAATTTTCCTTTCATGTAGCTATCTTTGTTCAGCTGATCGACAGTGTCTTCTGATCGGTTGACGGATATTTAGTTAATAGAGATTAAAAATGAATATGTAAATTTTAATTAATAAAACATGGACACTGGTAGTACAGTCAGCAGCAACAATTTATGCTACGCATGTGCATAAAGTTTGATAGAGAAGACTGAAAATTTGTATAGAAATTAGCCTGATTTCTAATTGCTGAATTTAAGAGGCATAACAACTTGCTATTTTAGAACAAACATGGCGCGGTACAAATAATGAAAAAAAAGGAAAGCAGTACAGCGACAAGTAAGTTAAGAAATGCTCGAGTTTTAGAAGCTTATTCCTAATCGAAAACCATATGTACGCTGACATATCGTGGGACAAATAATTGACATAAAATTGAAAAATTTTGTCTGTTATATAAAATATACAATGCTTCTTAACCCTCCAAATTCTTCAATCTAGCTACGTTGTTGCAGAATCGATTAAGTCGTTAAACAGATTTACATATAATTTGCAAATATATACATAAAAAAAACGACATTTTAACTGTCTTCTCATCAATGCAATAAGAGTCCCACAACTTGCTGATCATTTTAAACTTTTTCAAAATTTAATTTTTGTTCTAATTTGTACAGAAATAGGTGAGATCATCGGCGGAATAAATGGAGGCATAATCGTCGTTATAGTATCGTGCTGTGCAATTGCTGCATGTTTATAGGTTTGTAAGCCTACACCTTAAACGTCACTGGTCTTAAAATATCTACCCAACATGTTTGATTTTTATATTACGTATTAAAATGCACTCACAACTTTTCATGATAGCTAATATTTAAAAGACATAAATTAAAAGATAATGCATATAATGATAACATGCATAAAAATGATGCTACATTGTTAATATTACTTAATTGAAAAAGATTGTAACTTTACTGATGGAATTACGCAAACTCGTTTTTCTTCATTGAACGATGTTTGCCATGAAGTAATGAAGAAAAGTTCACATTCAAACGTAAGTTTGAGAACCGAGTCAGTCTCTTGTATCAAAAGTTGTCCTTCCACCTTTTTGCAGAACTTTACTTTTCTGCCTGGTATCTTTGTAAATTGAATACACTTTTATAAACTCATTGTATTTATTTTATATAATGAAATCATATAATTTCATAACTGAGCTTTGCTAAAGTGATTTAAAATTCATAAATGCTTAGCACATTATATATTTCAAGTTAACATACTTAGCTAACAAATATTTAAAACGTTATTCCACATTCGACGTTGAAAGAAATGTTGTATAATAACTCAGGCCCTGGCCTCTACCTTTATTAGAATAGAGATTGTTAGATTGTTAGATTGTTAGATAGAAAAAAACAGCTGAGTATAATAAAGCTAAAAGGCATAAATCAACTTTCCTTTTATTAATTAAATTCATGTCACATCGATTTCGAATTCGGTCTTTGTGTTTAACTATAACAGAAGAAAACGGTAAATATTTTCTCACTAATTATGTTATTGCATGCATAGATATAGCTTTACCTCCATGCGTTTCTCCTTAATACTTACGATATGGAAGCTCTACTTGTATCGCAAGTTCACTACGCCTGGTTGAATAATGTGTTGTGATCAACTATCTATGTTACACCCCCCCCTCACAAAAAAATGGGAAAAGAAGCAAGAGATCGTGATTTAAAGATAATCTTACCCTAGACCAGTTTCAATTTAAAAAAGAATTGTACTAGCCTGTTGTTTGACTTCATGGAGAAAAAAACGGGCTGTTGGTGTTAAAAATTCATTGCAAAAAGTATTTCATATCTTTATAATAAAAAATTAATGCTATTTCTATCATATGACACATTACATCTAATATGATGATAAAAAAAAAGGAATTGCTCGCGCAGAGTACGTTTCTCATTGTTAAAACAACAAAAATATTATTTTAGCCATAGCTACTAAATGGCCTAAGCTTCAGAATTAAACAAGCGTAAATAGGTCTATTTGTTATAATTCTTTTTCTCTCCATTCGTTGGAATTAGGTAATACCATGACGGCTTAAGTTCCCGCGAGAGGTGAAGGTCAAAAGTAATTTATTCCTAACAGAGGGACAATTATTAAAATGGTTAAAAAGTTTATGCAAATATTTGAAAAAATAGATAATTATTGAAGGAATTGTCACATTCTTGTGTCTATTTAAACATGGTGACCGTTTCTATCCATATGTCGTTCATAAACTTGATATGCAGCTTTTAAACCACTTTCTAAAGCACCTTGTATCCACTTTTGTGTAAAGGAAATTCCTTCACCAGCGAAATGAACGTTTCCCATAGGCTCCCATAAATACCTAGTTTTGAAAAAAAAAAACAATGTATGTCATGACCAAATAAAAAATTTGTTTGACCTATAAAGTTTATACGAAGCTCAGACATCAACCAACTTTGCCTCAATTCTTCAACTTATTAAAAATGTAAGCACGTGTTTCTAAGACAAGCTTCAAATACAGTCTTAAAAATTAAAAGTTGAAGTACAAATTTGATTTTTTATGCACCCAGTTCTGATAAATAAGCTGTAAAAAAATGGAGGATTTGAAAATCTTATAAAAATTACGGCAAAAAACTTGTGGCAATGTTGTATTTCATCATACAGTCAAAGTTCGTGGCCAGTAAACAACGTGGTATGAACACAACTTGATCTCGCTAAGGTCATATTCTATAATTAGTCAATTATGGTTCAATATTAGCTATATTTGTATCTTTATGTACTCTAGCTTTTTATGTGTTCTTTCATGAAAAAATTGCATGTTATCCTAAATGATCCTACCTGATGTTGCCGTATTGAGCAGTTTTCATTGCTCCACACGCGCCTTGATAAGATGGCAGCCTATACCAATGATGAATTATACAGTTTGATACAAGTTCTTCTTTTAATGTTGGATGAATTTCTGCGAGTTGTTCCACTACTTTTCGTTTTACTTGCTCTTCTTCCATGGAGCCAAAAAGCAAAGCCTCCTTCGTCCATACGTAAATCATTACAAGCCCTTCTTTTGTGCAGGGGTCTTCCGGGGTGACGTAATGAACCTGACCTATGGGAAGGTTTGTAATTGAAAACCCACCTTTGATTCCTTCATCTTCCCAGAATCTTGTTTTGGTTTGAAGAAAGATTTTTGATGAATGCAAGGTAAGAATATGGTTCATAGCTTGAAGGTTTTTTCTTGTCGCCAACTGGGACTTATTATTGTTAAGCTTTGATTTGAAAGTGATTTGGCGCAAAATATTAGTTGGTGTGGCAACAATTACGGCCTACATAAAAACAAAGTAGTAATTTTACCGTTGCAAACACTTACATATCACGTCTTCAGCCAGTCAGGAAAATTGTCTCCATACAGAAAGAAATTTGTCTAAAGTATGAATGAATGACTTATTGCTGTATTATATAACATTGAAATATGTCGTCTTTCACTGCTGAATCTTTTCGCACTAACCAATGAGGTTTTTCTTGTACATCATAAAAAGTTCATTATTTTACAGCAAAAAAGAGTATCGACTATTGAAGCTAATGAATTGCAAGACGATGACAACAATAAGTCATATGAAATTGAACAACTCAAGACTTCAATCGTTATTGCGAACTTCTCAAAATGGATGCTAGTGGTATTTACTAAAAAAAACGTAAGCATAAGATATTTTTTAAGTTAAATTATTCCCTTACACAGACAATCTTAAAATTTTTTGTAGCTAACATAAAAGCTATTGGTGAGCATTACAAACTTTTAACATTAACAATTGGCAAAATTTTTCAATCAGATAGTAATATAAAATACAAAAAAATAAATACGTTTAAAGATTGGTAATCCAGGCATATTTAATGTATAAAAATAAAAGTTTCTCCAGATTGTATATAAAATGATTTTATTGGGCTCTCAACTCGGTGCTTTGAGCCTTCATCAGAAAGATATAGGAAGTTATATACAATTCTTTTTCATTAGTAGACGCTTAGAGCGTCTAATTAGATTAGTGGGTGGATTAATGTGATTGGATGGTGTGGAATGCGTTGTCATGGGTATTGATGTATTGTGAATATGACTGCTGTTAATATTATAATAGTGCATTGTTGTAGTTTTGGCGTTATTTGTAGTTTTTTTGTCCTTTTTCTTTAGTTGTGAGTGCATGATGGGTATCCCAGCTTGCACACGACTTACTTATGACGTTGGTTAAAGGTTGTGAGAACGTCAGGTCCGACCTAACTTTTTAACGACGTTCGCACTACTTTAAGTAATTATTTTGACGTTGTACTGAAGTTGACACAACGTTTGTTAGCGACGTAGTAATTAACCGTTAAAGCAACGTTCATAGAACGTTGAAGTCCGAAGTTATAGCAACGCTGGAACCAACGTTGAAAGCCTGGTTAATTAGCGCTTGCATATGTTAGTGTAATCAGTCCTAAAGTAATGTTTTTTATGATATAGTTGCTGCTGCGACACTCACACAACTTCTACTGATGCAAAATTGAGAGGTTTGCGTAATCAGTCAATGTTCCTAAGACATGTGTTCATCATATATGTTCAAAAATATATTTTAATTTTTTTCTAAAATGGTGAAAAATAGTTTCCTAAATGCATTTTAAGAAAATTTTAAGCTGTTGAAAGAAATATTTATGAAAATATATGATAATTTTGTTCTTAGGAATTCTAGAAATCTCATTTCATACAAAAACTGTGATTTTATTTTTGAAATAAATTTTTATTTTCAATTGTAATTTTACTTTTACATAGATGAGCATTTACATTGACAAGCATTTTGTTTTATGCCAAATGTAATTTGGAATATATTCCATGTATGTATATACATATTTATAATTATGTTTAAGATTAGCACGCATTCATAAGCTAAATAAAATATTTTCATAGTTAAGAGTTCTGAATGATTTTTCTTTTTTACAATTTCAGATGACGGCACACTAAACACTCAAGTATACCGCAAAACCACCTACATAGACCAAATACTCGATTTCAACAGCTTCCACCCAACACAACACGAAATAAGATGCATTCGAACACTTTTTAACAGGATACACTCTCATTGTAATACCGAAGAAGCCAAGAAAACAGAACGCAACTATATACTCCACATTTATTAAAAACAATTACCCTAGAAACTTCATAAACAAAACTATAAACAAAATACAAAACAAAACACAAACCGACAAAAGCAACAAGAAACCAGAAGAAATAGTAAAATCGTCACATTACCATACATAAACGGAACATCAGAAATGACTACCAGACTTCTTCGACCATTTAATATTAACGTCACTCACAAACCTACACAAAACTCAAATTATGTTTCGCCAAACATAAAGACAAAGCATTACACTCTAATAATAATAACACCAGTCATATTCACAATACACCAATACCCATGACAACGCATTCCACATCATCCAATCACATTAATCCACCCACTAATCCAGTTAGACGCTCTAATCGTCTACATATGAAAAGAACAGTATATAACTTCCTATATCTTTCTGATGAAGGCTCGAAGCACCGAGTTGAAAGCTCAATAAAATCATTTTATATACAATCCGGAGAAACTTCTATTTTATACAAAAAATAAGTGCATGCTCTGATTGGTCTATTGCTGTGTTTGCATTAGCCTGTTAAATCCAATTTCAGCCCAACCAACAAAATCAATCAATCAATCAATGAGATAATGCAAATTAATTTTTTCAAATTTTTCTGTTTTCTATTACTGTTATTTTGTAAAAGAAATAAAAGATGTTTTTTGTGTTTGCACAGGCTTATGCAAACCTCGGAGACGTTTATACGAACTCTCGAGCAAGTGCGGACCTTGACCTTTCGTCTGGGGCTTGCATTGATCTGCTCTTGATTTGTCTGAAAGGTCTCCTCGGTTTCCATCAGCCCGTGCAGACACGGGATGAAACTTCCTTTTCTTAAATAAATTTTAAATACATTTTTCATATACACCTTCCAAACAAACATGAAAAAAGTTCAAAACTACCATTATCATCAACAGATTTTTAAAGCTTTCACAAAAACGTCCAGAAATATTTTACTTCGATTCTTGTTTATGCATGCGAAGGACAGTTTTTGATTTCCTGCATTTATATTGGCTGCAGCTGCGGGCGGATTTTTTACGATATTATGACTGTAGTTGACGAGTTATTTCTGGCAAAAGATTTGCTTAGAAAATCAAATTTTTAAATTTATTTGAGAGCGGTGTAAATTGTTCGAAGAGAAAGCAAAATGTATTTAAGTGATATTTATCATAGCAAAAGTGAATTTTACTATTCGGAGACAGTACACTTAATAAAAAATTCAATTTTCGTCTCAACAAGCCCCATCGAGCAATTTAAAATGCGATTATTTTCTTTATAAAAATAAGAAATATTTTCACTGGGTCTCAAAAGCGTCTTGACATTCATGGAAGACTGCTTCAAACATTTGCTTGAAACATTTCTTTTTCTTCACAAATTTAAACATTAAAAATGACGGTTGTAATATCAAACTACGTCTTTATTGTTTATTCAGTAAAGAAACAAAACAAATCAACATAGTCATCTAATCAGAAAGATGTTCTGATATACATCAGTAAATTGAAAACTATATCATCAAAATATACAAGATGTACATTATAGAAATATGCTAAACTTCTGTTTTTCATTAGTAAAGCAAAGTTTTTAACCTGTTCCTTTATGAACATCTACACTATACATGAATATATTGAAGACATGAATGCGTTTGTTGATACTTTGTTGTAGATTGAGAATTCATCTTCGAAAAATGCCTGGTGGAACAAAAATTGTCCTTGTCAACTTCAACTTTTAAATGGCGACACAACATGCTATCTCATTTCTCAGTCATTACAAAAGCATAGAAACTACAACATTAGGGTTAAAACTTTCCACCGGTTTTTCTGTACATCTCATTAAAACTTTGCCCAAGTCAGAAGTTTTTAAAATATAAGAAAGCCAAAATTGTGAATTTGTAATACAAAAGAATGGTAAAGTAAGACCGACATCCCTCATTAAGTCAACAGCAAATGATCGAACTTCCCGCTTTAATTTTCACGAGAGATGCGTTATCCAGTCTAATGTACATAACACAGGTTGCAATTCACAAGAGACGCAGATGTCTCGCTGTGGGGGAGTTTTATTTTAACAAACCCTTCGGCAGTATAGTAGTTCAACAATCACTGAACAAGTTCGTAAAGTAAAAGGTTAAGCAAACATTTCCGACTAAATTAATTTCGGTTAACTAAACTTACCTTTCCTTTATAAACAATTGATGCACCACTATTTGAATAACAAGACACCTCTACAAAATCGTTGAGCGGGCAATCATCTTTAAACCAGTAATTTATTTCATATACTTGCTTCTTGTATTCTATGTCATCTGTATTTAATATTCCACTATTGAAAAACGCTTTTGGCAAACTGTGCATGCCACCTTTCAAACAATGCATTTCAGGAGAATGCCATTTTCCCAATGGAAAAGAAAGATAGTGTTCAAGTGATTGGTCAAGATCATACGCATAGAAAACTACAGAAAAGCCTTGAACGGCGTCGCTAGACCATGGCAAAAGACTTTCAAGCTTTATTAAATCCAAGTCTTCCTGCTCTTGAATAAAAACTTTAGCTTTAATTACATTGATAGTACTTTCAAGAAAATTTTCCACCGTGAACCGACTCCAAATTTTAATCCAACGATCCCATGCATTAACTTGATCATCTACACTATTTGCTTTTGATAACCAAGTGTAAAGCTGGTCACTGACAACACTTGTTGTTTCGTCGTAGTATTTTCCTGATTAAGAAAAGGTAAATTATTGTTACTAACAGTTTATAATGTTGATTTTATTCTCAAGACATAGATTCTCACCCAATGAAATATGGTTGTTTTCCCTTGCATGCCTCGTCAATAGTTTTTACATATCTGAATCATAAAATAGACAAAACATCTCATTGTATAATTACCAATATTCAAAATGTCTTTTCGTAATGATTCATTTATTCCATCCATCCAGTTTGGCCAAAATTTGTCAAAATGTTTCTCAGCCCAAACTGAAAACATGAGACACAAAGCAGCATAAACAATTATTCTAGCAAATTAATCATTACATATGAAAGAGTAGTACTAACAATATCCAGGTGCAAATAGCGTCATCATGAACTGTAGTGGCATGCATTTTAAGTGTAAACCAGTATTAGCTATAATGCAGGCCTAAGTTCGTTGTTGAGAAAATAAATGTTGCAAATTTATAGAAATGATTTGAGTTTTCTTTCTATCGATGTTTGCCTTTCATCTTACAAACTTTCTATTTGTATAAAAGAACAACACTTGAATATGTTTTACAGAGGCGTAACTAGAACGTTAACTGGGTGTGTATATTCATATATTCCGTTGTGCCCTGCCGATTTCTTTGAAACTCAAATCACTTTCATGAGAAATCAGTTGGGCAAGGAGGAATATATGAATATGCCCCCCTTCCCAATTAACGTTCTAGTTAAGCCTCTGATGTTATATGTTGAGCAAGCATCGTTTTGACTAGCTAGCGGAAATAGAAAACATTTCTCATGACATGCAATTGCATCTTCCCAATACATGCATTAAAGTCGTCTTGTTAAATTTACATTACACGATCTCTGCTTTTACACACTTTTTGTTCACTATTTTTATGCACTTTACCTTCAGATTTTCGCGAAGACCATAAATGCTAGTAATGACATTTTCATCGTAGTTTGGAAAACATTTGATAGGTAGATTAAAGTTCTTGATGTAACCGTCCGTTAAATAATGTTGTTTTTCATATTGATCGTCAACACCTCCAGGCAATCGCATTGCTCCAGCTTGAAAAATAATAAATATTTTTTTAGTTGAAATTGTAAGATTTTCTTTCATTTCTGCATTTACATGATTGAAGAATTATATATGTAGATGGTCGCCAATATCATATAATACCAAAAAATTCATGTATTCTAGTAATTTTCATAAAATTTTGCATTTTCTAAAAGAAAAGAGTGTAATCTCTCAATCTTTAATCAATGCTTCTCTTTAAAATGACTTTTCTAGATTACTTGATTATGAAAAACTGTTTCATTAAAGTGTATAACCTGTAGATTTAAAAATTCGTAGAATATATATTTAGTTCTGTGTCTTCCAACACGACAATGACGTCAAACACACACATAAGTATATTTTTTTGAAAACACCCCACAGATAAAAAGGTTTGCGTGATTAAATGCCCAACACAATCATCAGATTTGGCACTAAAGTATATAGGCACAACTCAGGGGAGTTGGAAGCGGAGAAGCAATGAAGGCTATAAGACCCTCCTAACTTTTCTTGAAAGGACAGCACCCCTTACTCATAACATTAAAACAGTAAAATTCCTATGAAAGATGCAGGTCTCTTTTGAATATAAAACATACGTATGTTTATTACGGCCTGGTAGGCTTCAAAAAAATCTCGCAGAAAGTTTTTGTAATTTCCCTTAATAGCATATTTTGTTGTTAACATCACCTGCTGAGACAGAAAATGATGATAAAGCAGCTATTTTCATTTTCCTATATGACACTGATGGCATATGATTTACTTTATTATATTATGTTTTACATTGGCATGCATGTCTAAAACTTTCTAAAAATGAGAAACACCTTGTAGGGTGCTTAACAATGTTAAATTCTTTTATTTTTTAATTGATCTAGCGAACATGCAAAAATGCTACATATAATTTTTAGGGGGCCTCCCCCTCCTTTCATTTATTTAAGTAGCTTGACAAGCAACTGAAAACTATCAAATGATAATGAAATTTTTCAAATGCTTGGAAACAGATTGAATGAATAACAAAAAAAGATAGTAGAAAAGATACCTAGTTGTTGAATCTTTCACAGAAGCATAAGCTCGTCACATCATTACTTCAGCTATTTGTTGAAATTTTTTGTTGTTTTAATTGCTTGATTCAATTTATAGTTGACAAACGATTTTTAAATCATTTATTCTTCAAAGTAAACTTTTTTTATTTCTATAGAAGAGTTTTCGATGGGGTGGGGTGGGGTATCATTTGTTATTCACTTACTGCATGTTACAGCTAGAACGATTGGAAGTATTGTTTAAGAAAGCATTCGCTGTATTGGAATTTTTACCGTCGAAAGCAAGAAGTTAGTCAGTTAATATCGTTGTAATGATTACCATGTTTATACAAAATAAGTTGCTGTTTTTCGTCATATTTGTCAGCTAGTAACAGTCGTCGTTTATTCAATGTGGCTTCTGGTTGACACACGCATGCCAGGTATATTTCCTAGTTCTGCTGTTGTCTGCTGTTCTAGCTATACCTATGGGGGCAGCAATTTTACAGTTCTGTGAAAAACTGTGGCAAAGCTTTTGAATTTATGATTTATGAATGAAATAGCTTTAATTTTAGCAGACAACTTTACTGAGCGAGTTTATCCATACCTTCTGCATACAAACCAGACGCAAGACCGCTTTCTTCACCATACGTAAATATTCTTCCTCCATAACGGTCTGTTTGCTCTAGAATTTTCACAGAAAGACCAGCTTTTTTTAATTCATACGCTGCACTTAGACCTGCCATTCCTGCACCAACTATAATGACGTCACTGATCTTTTCATCTTCAATACCATTGATTATCGATCTTGGATGTTTTGATTCCACCGGTTTGTATCCGTAACGATTATAAGCTTTTCGCAAACCTTCATCTTGGATACATTTCAGAAACGTTTTGATGCAATCACTGTGCTGAATTGGAATTTGTTTATTTTTCGGAATTTTCGTAGGTTCATCATTTTCCAAAATCTTTTGTGGTTTTAAGATAATCTGACGCCATTGTAGAACATGAAAACTTAAACAACTACAATGTACATTGAGTTGAATAAATTAGATGTGTAATAAATGTAGCATTGTATGACTGATCTTAAGAATTTACTTTCTTTACTTGATTTTACTTGTAGATTGAAGATTTTGGCCGAAAACAACCGAAACAAAAAGACCACATGCCCTAATATCTGTGTTATAAAACATGTTGATCAAAAGGCGAATGCAATTTGATTTGTTGAGATATGAACATCAAACGAAAACATACAAACAATACAATATTTTGCATGATTAATTAAGTAGATATGACATATGCCATATCACATGAAGATCGTCATTATAATATCGTTGCTCGTTACACTTGTTTTGTTTCTCTATAAAATCTATATTATACTTTACATAATCCGAATGTTATTACCGACTTACGAATAATTTAACATGATTAACAATAGAATTTTATCCGAAATACGTTTTTTATTAAAAAAAAATGAATTGTAAGCTATTATAGTCTGGTATTTAAGTATATGTTACTGATGATACTGAGAAAATCGCTTTTGAGTGGTTAGGTGAGGCTAAATGAGCGTTTACCACTCGAAACATGTCTCGCAAATGAATATTAATTTCGATGAAATCATATACATCATTTACTTTCATAATCATGAAATCATAATCATGTACTTTCATAACAATGATTATCCTTTTCTCTCATTCAATAATGATATTTAAAGCGTCAAAAGATTAATTTTGGATCTCTTCATTTTTCAGGTTAATACTGTGGATATATTCTTGACTTGCAATTCAACTATGTTGGTGGTATGATACAAAAATATTTTATCAGTGCTATTGCTGCCACCAGCCGACGTGGTCGAGCAACATTGTTTGATAAATCTCAAGAGAACGGTTGCAAGTCAAGAATGCAGTTCAAATACGGCCAAACAATAACCTGTATATAACTGCCGGCAAGTGCATAGTTTCATTTACAAATCGTCCATGTTGATGGCTCATACAAAGACTGCATATAATATCAAATATTGTTGGCACGGCCAACAGCGACATTATTTGGTAAATCCCGAGACTTGATGCGAGTTGAAAAAAGCCGTGCATGTTTTTCTGTTAAGCTTCAGATTTGTCAAGCCTTTCACGTTCGAAGCATTATGGAGATATGCTGCACTTAATTTGCGCTTGACAAACATACTGTATTCCCTAAGCATGCATTTATTAGATTTAAGTTCACTCGTGATAAATCTACTAATTTCTATCGTCTGAACATGATTATTGATATCCGTTTCACAAACCTTTAAGTGTTGAAAATAGTGCCAACGATGTAACCAAAATTCAGTATCTACTTCTAATGACAAAAACATAGACAATATTGATTTTGACAGGCATGCATTGCTTAATCTTTAACACAAAACAGACATTGATAATGGTAGCAACAAATAAATTAAAATGCTTGATGCTATACTATACTAGGACTATGGTCTTCAATTTTTCTAAAACAGGCATTAATCATGCTTGAGATAAGGTTAAGATGTCTAAAATATGTTGATATTCTTGCTGGAGACACGACCGTGGGTAACAGAATTACATACGTCAACTTTTCACCCAATTTTCAGTGTGCACTGGGCAACATATCATCACATCACTTTAAAGAATGGCAAACTTATCATTTTTCGAGCAATTTGCCAATTTTTTAAGGATTTGCTAATATAAACCGAATTCGAGTAAAATTTTTGTGTATTGATGACCAATATTTTGAGGAAACACATCGCTAACAAAAGTTTTTGTATGCATGTGCTACGTGCGAGCTTTAATCAATTCAACAAGTGGTTTGGCGTCAAAGAAAACAAAAATATTGAAATCATGAAACTCTAGTGAAGGAAGCATAATAAACTTATTCCGATAAATACAAAAAACCAGGCGATTTCACTTTTATTTAAAAGTGGAAATGTCTGAAAAAACAGGAATTAAGAGTGAATCAAATGTACGTTAACTCACCTTTGTTATTTATTGAATTAGTCTGTTGATTTTTTTAATTGATAACATTTCTTTGCATTTAAGAACGTGAAGTTTGAAAAAATAGTTCGATTTTGTACGATAGACCGCAATAAATGCACCCTCGAATATAACCATAAGTTTAGAGTTATATTTACAATTGAGCATTTTATCGGACATTCTGCCTATTCTCATAAGATGAATAATTATATACCGGCATCAAACAATTAAAGCATAAAATTTTGTAAACATAAATGTATTGTTTTTTAAAGGACAAGTTGCAGTCTTGCAGACATTGGCAGAAGAAGGAGAAAGAGAAACATCTAAAACAATTGTGGAGACATCTTACTGAGTCGAACAAAGCTAACTTCTAAATAAAATAAAGGTAAATATTGATGCATACATACTTCACCATTTGTATAGGCTCATGTCATCGTATATCTAGCCACATATAGATTTTTTTTGAATATCAATCAATTAAGTATTTCTCTATTGCCCAATAATGTCATGATTAATAATAATTGTTATATTTGCAAAATTTTTTTAAAATCTGTGTTTGTAAAGTGACACCTAGACGAATAATTAAAATACTAAAACAACGTTTATAGCTCTTTAACTAAGTATATATCGATTTAAGCACACGTTTAGCCAATATCTTCTTTGAGTTCACGAAATGTAAGACTAAATGGCATACAAATTTAAAGAATTACTTCTTTCAAAAAACCTCCAGTTCAAATAAGCCAATCCGCGAGAAGAAGCTCTTACATCAACATAAAAACACTGATCATTAATAAATAGTCAAGTTACCTAATCAACGTACACAGAAACCGTGTTTCAAACAAATCTTGTTTCACACTAAATGAAATAGGGTGCGCAAGTAACTATTCGTTCTCAGATAAAGTAGTTGATTGCTAACTATCTCTGTTATACTTATTTCAATCCTGTAAGATTTCTACAGCTGTTTAGCTACAAACATTGAAAATTAGCAATAAAAGCAAAAATTTGCATGTTTGCATGACTTTTACCCTTTTTCTGACTAATGACACAATACGTCCTTGATCGTTAACTGCTACAAAGCTCAACTTGAAAAGAGCTTAAAACAACATAAACATTGACAGGTATTTGCGACAAGTGGCATAAAGTAGCCAAGCACTATGAACCAAGATCATGCTGCTCCAATTAGATGCACGAATCGTTAAGTATAACAATGAAAACTTAGGCCTTTATCATGCATTATGTTCTATAAATTGCACCAATAAATAAAGACAAAGAGACTTTCGATTACTCTTTCATTTAAGGAGAAGATATGATCTGATCTCAACATAAAAAAAGTCAATAACTAGGTTTAAGTAACATTTAACGATTTAAACGTCCGCATATTGTCTAGCCTGTTAAATGAAAAGACCTTAAATTTGAAATATAACATTGTCTAGCGTATGATGAAGGACTGGAAAGAAACGCAGTAGACGTCTACCAGCATAATAGTTAAAATGAATTATTGGCAGATAAGATTTATGTTGGAATCTTTGTCATGCGGAAGTATTGATAATCTATCTGATTGTATGGCTGCCGACAAATGCTGACATTATCATGTTGTTAGAAAGTATTGATGAAGTGTAACCACGTGTAGACGTAATGGCATATACAGGAACATAACAACATTAGGAGCTTTAATAACATTAGGAACATTAGGAACCTAAGAGCATTACATAGGGACATTATATCGACGGAACATTATATAAAATAAATTCGGGCCAAACATAGCAAAACACGCATGGGATTATCGACATGAAATTGATTTTGAAAATACTGATGTTAAAGATAAAAGAAAGTACTGTATTAGAAAGACATTACAATCATGGCACACTTCATCGACTCCAGAAGCTTTTGGATACAGTAACATTTTTTAACCAAATGCTAGAGAATAAATAAGACAAGTTAAAAACCAGCCAACATTTATTTTATATGTTATCAGTATTATATTATATTGAAGCATTGTTGAACATACGGAAAGCAATCAACTGTTGTAGACGTTCTGTACGTTAATTGTTGTCGTACAATCATTATGCACTGTATGATGAATGCCATGCAATAACATTTTAATTTAATTTTCATTTTAACAATGCGTTTGGCGAATCCTTTGCTAAATACACGCAGTGTGTCAGGGCACTATAAAAAAGTATATTTGCTGATAACACCCCTACCTTTTTCTTTCAAGTAGAACTACAACTTAGTATTCGAACAGAATGACTACTTCTGAACCAAAGTTTCATACAATGAAACTAAACATATGTATGAATTAAACCAAAGGCAATGTGCATAATGACAATGCAATGATATTTCTAGCATGTTGAAAAATTGGTTTAAAACTGCTTGATTTTGCCAATGAGCTTGCTAACCATCCTGCAATGACACAATGTGTATGTGAAATTTTATTTGACATAATGTATACTCTTTATTGCTAAAATGCTTGACATATAGATATTGCTTCTTGCAAAAGCAACGAACGTGGTACATTTTCATGCTTCTTGCAGCTGCTTGTTAGTAAAAATTTCAAGTTTTGGATAGTACTCCGAATTAAAATTTAACATACTTGTTTTGTTTTCATACCATGTAAATTGAAAGAAACGCTATTTTTTGTTTTGCGTAACATCTGGAAACGAATTTTTAGCACCTGTAACCAAACAGGAAATTTAAAGTTGGATCAGTTTAAGATTGAAATAACTAACTGTCGCAATTAAAAAATATTTATCTTTGTACTTAAATAGTCTCAGCATAAACGTCATACACATACTTAACAATGTGAATTATTTGATACTACACTTGAAAGTGGAGGAAAGCATCACATATTTACAGTTCAACTCAATTCTTATTGGAAAAATTAACAAAACATCCCAGTCTTAACATGAAGTTGGCAATTTCTCTTTCTACATTAACACTTGCATTTGTTTGTGGAACAACATTAGTGGATAGTATTCTCCCATTTTGGATTCGAACGACAACACCAATGCCCACTTTACCTCCAACTAGTGACGAGCAGTTTTATGACAGTAAGTAAATGATATGAATTTGTTACGTATTGGTGAAAAGATATAGTTTCTCATCTCGTTCTTTTTTTTAAAAGAGACTCGATGCGTAGCCATTATCGTAAACACCCTTATGAAATACAAAGGGTTTTAAGATAGCTATAAAAGAAATATCTTAAAAATAAAAATATCTAAAAAGTAAAGGATGTTTGCTGTGTTTGCACAGGCTTATGCAAACCGTGAGGACCTTGAAGAGAGCTGGAGAGCGCAGATCAGTGCAAGCCAGAGACAGAAGGCTCAGAGTTGCACCTGCTCGTGAACTCTCACGAGCGTCTGAAAGGTTTATGAATACGCCAGTGGAAAGACGAAATCTTTTGCTTTTTTTATAAAATTACAATATAAATTGTATTCATGGTTGATTTGCAAATCCTCTATAAATAATTGATTGATTGAATTAATAGGTTGAGCTCATGTCTGTTTTTGCACTGGCTAATGCACCACTATTGACCAATCAGTCTACAAGTTCTACGGCTTTTGGCTAATGTTTTAACGAACAATTTATTCATGAAATATTAATTGCAGAATTCAAACAAATTCCTCCAAAAAAAGTCACAGCATATAAACTGGCAAAAAAATTCTTTCGTCTGCCATCTTCTGTCCTGAATAAACCAAGAATCCATCTTCAAGACACTGCTATTGTAATAGATTCATCTGGTTCCGTTGGAGATTGTGAGTACAAGAAGGGAAACAGGCTATGAAAAATCTCATGAATAAAACATTACCTCCCAACTACGATGGTAACTGGGCTGGTGTTCAGTACTCTACCAACGCAAGAATCATGTTCAATTTCTTTCCTGCTTCACAAGCTGCAAAAAAATCTGATTCATTTTTTTTTAAATGGAGGAACAAACACTGCTGGTGGTTTAGCAAAAGGAAAAGATTTATTTGATGATTCTACGAAAGGTGAGTTAGATTAGCTAATATATGAATATTTTAAATATTTTGTACACGTAAATACTTCATGATTTTTACAAAGGATGCATTAAAATAATCCATTTTTTTGGATCGCACAACAAAAAGTAGTTTTTGTCATTATAGGCGTTTAAATGGCGTTCGAACAAAATGATGCTTACAAAATTTGTGATATCAAAAACGAATCCTATCTGTCAAATATCTCATATACTGCAGCAATCGAGATATTGTAAATTAAACAATCAGTTTAGCTATATCAAAATTATTTGCTGCATAAAGTCTAAACGTTTTTATTCTATATGCTAGGTTACCGTTTTTTTTTATTTCAATTACTGGATAAAGAATGAATGAATGAATTTTCTAAAAAAATGAAAAATTTATATGGTAGGAGTAAAAGATTGGGGTGACTTTGCCACCGATAGTTAATTAAATATAATATTATAATACATATTGCTACCAATTTTCTACGCTTGAACGATAGGTACTCATTTTAATCACAAAAAAGAATTCATTTGGATTATAAGGCATAAGAGCGATAACGCTGATTAAGCCAAATTTTTGTGCCTGTCTGATAAAATTATTTTGCTAAGTAGTGCATGCTGATTTAGTGCATGTATAACACTGTAGTTGAGGAGATTATTTTGAGATTTTTGATTCTTTGTTTTTTTTCTTTAAATATTGCCTTTCAATAAGCTCGTGACAATGGTTTGTCCTCTATCAGTTGTTTGATAATAGTGATAATAATATTTCTTAAACATGAACATTTTCATTCACAAATTGGATAAAATGACTATCTCTCAAACTGTCTCAAACCAATATTCATTTCATTTTTGCACAATTCACAGGAAGCCGTCGTGGTGCACGTCAAATGGTGTTTCTTGTGACAGATGGACATTCAAATATAAATCGTCGTCAAACAGCTCCAAATGCAAAGAAACTAAAAAATGATGGTATAGAAATCTTTGTTATCGGTGTTGGATATTTTAGTGGTGGAATTGAAGAGATAGTTCAAATTGCTTCGTTACCAGTAGAAGATCATGTTCTCAGAGTTAGGAGCTATGGAGATATGATCGATGTTGTCAATCGTGTGGTCAAAGAAATTAATCCAGGTCAATATGCAATCGTGGCAAAATTCCTCCTCCTTGTTAAAAATGATTAACCCTTTGCTCACTTGTATTTTGCCTTGAGAAAAATTAAAGTTTTTTTTGCATTAAATGTAGCTGTTTTTTAATCACATCGAAGTTGATTCGACTGAAATGAATAAAAGATGAATTATTTATACTCTTATAAACTACTGTGTAAGAATCACTTCTCGTCTAATTTATATCTTCATGTTACAAAATTGAATTTACATAAAGGGTGAGGTTACGGCAGCAGTAGCGGATTAAGACTACGTCAAATATATCTTCATGTTATAAAAATGAATTTACATAAATGGTGAGTTTACGGAAGAAGTAGCGGATTAAGTCTACGTCAAATATATCTTCATGTTATAAAAATAAATTTACATAAAGGGCGAGGTTACGGGAGCAGTTGCGGATTAAGACTACGTCATATATATCTTCATGTTACCAAATTGAATTTACATAAAGGGTGAGGTTACGGAAGCAGTAGCGGATTAAGTCTACCACAAATATATCTTCATGTTACAAAAATGAATTTACATAAAGGGTGAGTTTACGGAAGCAGTAGCTGATTAAGTCTACCACAAATATATCTTCATGTTACAAAAATGAATTTACATAAAGGGTGAGTTTACGGAAACAGTAGCTGATTAAGTCTACCAGAAATATATCTTCATGTTACAAAAATGAATTTATATAAGGGTTGAGGTTACGGAAGCAGTGGCGGATTAAGACTACGTCAAATAAATCTTCATGTTACAAAAATGAATTTAAATAAACGGTGAGGTTACGGAAGCGGTGGCGGATTAAGACTACGTCAAATATATATTCATGTTATAAAAATAAATTTACATAAAGCGGAGGTTACGGAGCAGTTGCGGATTAAGACTACGTCATATATATCTTCATGTTACAAAATTGAATTTACATAAAGGGTGAATTTACGGAAGCAGTAGCGGATTAAGTCTACGTCAAATATATCTTCATGTTACAAAATGAGCTTACATAAAGGTTGAGGTTACGGAAGCAGTGGCGGATTAGGACTACGTCAAATATATCTTCATGTTATAAAATAAATTTACATAAAGCGCGAGGTTACGGGAGCAGTTGCGGATTAAGACTACGTCATATAAATCTTCATGTTACAAAATTGAATTTACATAAAGGGTGAGGTTACGGTAGCAGTAGCGGATTAAGTCTACGTCAAATATATCTTCATGTTACAAAAATGAATTTACATAAAGGTTGAGGTTAGGGAAGCAGTGGCGGATTAGGACTACGTCAAATATATCTTCATGTTATAAAAATAAATTTAGAAAAAAGCGCGAGGTTACGGGAGCAGTTGCGGATTAAGACTACGCCATATAAATCTTCATGTTACAAAATTGAATTTACATAAAGGGTGAGGTTACGGTCAGGGGTGGATTTAGGATTTTTCATATGTTAGTCAAAAATTTATGACGTCATATGTAGCCTCAAATATGACGTCATAGATGACATCATACATTGTATCTTATGCAGCGATTTATAAAACTTTAGCGATCATAAAATTGCGAAAACTTAGATGAATTCCCTTTAATCAGATGATGACAGACTGTTTCGCCCAATATCAGGGCTCTTCAGCATGCCTAGGATGATGCCCCAAATTTCAAAGCATCATCCGACATGGACAGCCCTTTAAAGAGCCGAAGCCAGCAATCTGGTTATTGCATAGAATTAAATGCATGTCCTTTATACATAGGTACATCAACAATTTTATCTATAAACTAAAAAAAGAATTAAGATGTAGAAAGACAAAATTTAAAAAAATTCTCATGATTTCAATTAAATTTAAATCTAGTGTTGCCAACAGAAAATTTATCAATTACGCGTTGCACATCTGGAAGAATTTCCTGATGAATTTTCATTAGAGCAAGACCATTTAACCCTTCCTCAACCATAGTACTCCGCTTATAATCTTTAAGAATTCGCAGCGCTGAAATCGAACGTTCACATTCGCATGAAGTTATGGGAAGGGTTCCTAATATTTGAAGTATGACCTTTATGTTTTGAAAACCATCAAAATTTATAGCTTTTAAAGTTGTAGCTACATTACATGGATAAGGACCTTTACGATGTTCCCAGAAGGATTGCCATAATAACAACTCTGCATCTAAACCTAACTGATTGGGTAAATCAGCAACATAAAATTTTGAAACAATCTTAAATTTATGTCTCCAGTCAATCCCATTTTTTATGAGAAAACATTTTTGTTGGAACAATACTTAGCGGTTGATAAACATTTACACTTTCCGTGTCAAATCGCGCATCCAAAGACGAGAGAAGATGGTCAATTAAAGGAATCGTATAGATTCGTTTGTAATACTCCGAGATAGAACGATAAGGAGCGTTAGGCCTTGTAGTTTGCCTTCCAATTGTCCTACGTTTACATTCTTCTACCCCAACCTTTGCCGCTAACGTCAAAGCAATGTCGTACCATTGATCATGATATGAAGCAATAGAATTCCTCACATGTGCAACACTGCTTTTCAAAGAAGAGATCAACTCAATCCCGTCCATAACATCAATACTCTTTCCTTGCAAAAGCTGAGTAACAGGAAGCGTTAGATCAAAAACATTTCTGGTAATAACCAAGAGGGCGATAAAATGAAACTCAGAAAGACCTTCAAGCAAAGAGGATGCATCAGCAGCGAGAGAGGGACTGCCACCATTTGCCATGTTATCCAGTGTGTCAAAAATTTGAACAAACAATTCTTCGAAAGTGTATAAACCTTTAACTCGTTCTACCCATCTGGTTCTACAAACATCTGGCAATCTAGTCTTTTTTGAGTCCGTTTCTAAACTATTGCGTACAGTCTCCTCAAACGGTATATTGCGTGTTTGAGAAATATTGATAAAATTTGTCACATCTTTTATTTTGTTAAGTACTTTCTTAACCTCAATATCTGACAAAGAATCACAAACTGACAAATTAAGCCTATGACTATAACAGTGGGTATATAATGCTTTCGAGTTGAGCTTCAAAATTTGGGCAGCCAAACCTTTAACACAACCTGCAACAGCACCCGCACCATCATAACCTTGTCCGCGACAGTCTTCAATTGGCAAGCCAAGGTCTTTAAGTTTATCTAGAATTAATTTAGCAAGGTTCTCTCCACTCAATCCCCACTTACATTGAAGAAAGGCAATGAACTCCTCTCTTATGTCCATATTCTTATCAATAAAACGTAAAATTAGAGCCATTTGCTCTCTATGGGAAGAATCTGCAGCCTCATCAGCTATAATAGAAAAGAACCTATTAACCTTAATGTCGTTGACAATCTGTTCAGTAATAACCTCTCCAAAGCACTTGATCATTTTATTCTGGCTGGTCTTAGAGATGTAACTTCTATTTTTCCCACAAGATGTTAAGTGATCCCTTAAAACACCATCCCTGAACGAACTTTAAAATTTAGTGTCTCCACAAAATTTCCAACACCCCCGGTACAATACTGACCAACCTCTGGATGATATTTAGCATCATCACGGTGGCCACGCAAAGGCAAACCTAAACGACCACAAAAAAGAATGCAATCAGCAATAGAAGACAGTTTACATTTGTTCTGATCGACTTCTTTTTTAAGATTTCTTTCTAACATGAGCTCTATTGGTTGCTCAGACCCTGACATTTGAGCACGTAAGGCAAATAAAATTGGATTTGTTTCGGCATGCAACCCCACTTCTCCTTCATCATGGCGTTTAAAAGTAAATGCAGCATCATTCTAGCGTGAAACCGGTTTAGAAAAAAAATTTGTAATCTTAGAAGCTTTAACAGGGAAGCGATGACCAAAAAGCACGCATGACAAACAAAATGCACCATCTTTTGATGGGGAGTAGCATAGCCAGTCATATTTTTTTAGCCAGTCATATCTAAAGCTCCTACCACCGGTCTTAGGAAAGGAAAAATTCTCATCAGGCCTGAAAACATTTTTAATCAATTGAAGAACACCAGAAGTATCTAAGCCTTTAACTTTATCCTGGTAAGTTGCAACATCAAAATTATGCACAGAATGATACTTCTTTTCTGGACAAGATTGACTAGCGGAGGACTTAATTGGTTGTTTCAACGTGATATAAGAAGGAACTTGTTTGGCAGAAGAAAAAGTTTCATTGGGCTTTTTTTCAAATAACTTGGATGGCTGTTTTCTGATGCAGTAAAAGTTAGAAATAATTGGAATATTACCAGAAGGAAATTTTGCCACCTTCTTGGAAAATAAGGAAGGCACCTTACGTTTTTTTGCTGACGTTGTGGCTTGTGTAATGTCAGCAGACTTTCGCTTGTGTGCACTTGCATGAAAAAGAAGAGGGACAAAATGGTTAGGCTGAAATGATTCTCCAGTTCTTATGTCACCTTCATGGCAGAATAGAATATGAATTTCTTTTCAACCCTAGTAGTATGCAAGCGGGTTGAATAACACGATTAAATAAAAGTTTGAGCCTGTGTTGTCCACAATCCGGATAATATGTAACAATACATCTTTTCAAAACTGAAGACAGACCCAAAATACAAAGAAATGATGACCATTTACTATCATTGCAATTAAAACAGCCTCTTTCTTCACTAAATTTTCCTTACTAGCACCGGTATCTAAGGACTCAACAGAGACAGATAAGGGTAAAAGATTTTTATACTTCCCTTAAAAAATCAGGATGCTCTTCAATGGCAGACAAAAGCAGGGATGCTCACAGTAAAATGAGCATTCAGGAAAAGCTCAAGTGAGGTTAAGATTCTTAAAGTTGGAACCAATCTATCATCACCAAGCAGAGACAAAGACACGGAACTGTACAAGCAATTCCCTGAAGCTTCTGATCTAAGAAAATACATGAAGCTGATGATGAAAGAATTTTTGGGTTTGGTTCCAAAATGTTCTATATATGACATTATTTGATAAATGTATTATATAATCATGTTATAATCTTATTTAGTTTTATTGAGTAATAAAATAGCTAACTGACAATAAAATCTCGCGTAAATATGATATTTACTTTATGTTTTTATATTGACAAAATCTACATTCTCTATATGAAATGTGTAATAGTGCTGACAACTATAAGCAGGGAATGAATATAAGTAATTCAAATAGGATAGTTAATAGTAGAATTATAAAGAATCAAGGAATAATCAACAAGCAGGTTGAACTGAAAATTTGACAAGTTTATCTCACTGTACATTCATAAAGTTTTAAAATGCGAGTCTAAAACCACAAAATCAGCAAGTTGAAAGGTTGATGAGATTTACACAACACAAGTGACCTGTAATATACAACCAGACGTTTTGCTGGCAACTTATAGCAAGCAGACTTTGTATAGTGCTTTCGTTTTGGAAACACAGCACAATTAAGCAAAAATGCTTAACTTCCCTTGAGATTTATCTGCCTGCCAGCAAACCGTGCGAACGTAAACAAGGCAAGTCATCAATACCGTTTGTATGCATATTTACATTCTTACATATTGTTAGTGAAATATGAGAAAAATTGTACAAAATATATAGTTTACCTCAAAGCTATGCACGATTTTTCCTTTTGATTTCGAACAGTCAAAGGAATATAAGTTTCCGCGCAATAGTTTCTGCTAATGCTGTTTGACGAGCTACTTATGGCACCCAATAGTTGCTCAAGCGATATCTCATCTTGCTCATTTAGTTGCCTGGCAAGATCAACATAAAAACCTGCCAAAATTTTACAATCATCTGCCGCAAAGGCAGCTTGAACAACACCGTAATCCATATCAGATACAACTGAAACTTTTTTAAACAAAGCGTGATTGCAATTTTGCGATGTAGCGAAAGATAAGACCTTCAAAATAAATGACCCCCCGCTGTGAATCAGTCAAAGTATCAAATAGCGTAAAATAACAAAGTAAAAATACTAGTCGATAATATAAAATATGATTGTTAGAGCCCTTGAAAGTCGTCAATCCATCAGGCCTCCACAGATACATCAAAACTGCAAGTTTCCATGGCAATAGGCGAATTGACCAATGAGAAGACTAAGATTTGACTTTTTGATGGATCTGTGGGCTTGAGATCATATTTGAGGCTAATTACATAGCTTTCCTTAAAAAAACGGCTGTACACTCAGGCCATTAATTAATTCTGATCGTTATGCTTTCGTTTGGCTTACGACAGTGAACTCGACATTTGAATAACTGTAATGATAACCGAAGCCAAAAATTGAAGCCAAAAAATATTTGTTGTCATCATTCGTCATCACACGTCAGGCTCTAGTCTCTCGCGTGTTCATTTTATTTTTTTTAAATCAGTTGTCCCTTGGTAATGATAGAGTTCGGATCTTGATCAGAGCGTAAAAATAACGAAATGTTTGTAATGAAAAGGTTCACGGAAAGTGAATCAAAGTGATAAATCGAGAAGCAAGATGAGGTGAACTTAGTCGATCTGCTCTTACGCTGCGGTTTTCTTTTAAAACATATCAAAGTCTTTAAGGATATTCAATTATTGATATCGAGATGACAACCATTTAGTATTTCAAGTTTCAAGCACTATCAAAATCGATGAAAAATATAATCGCTCTGTAAAAGTAAAATGCGAGTTATAGACTCGATATTTTTATGAAACTGGATATTCAAGTTTCTTTTTATTCGGAAAACATATCTTTAAATCCACTTAAATGACAAAAAGACAAACACTGTCTTTTTGTTTTCCGTTTGAAAGTTTACCTTCCGACGAAAGAAAATTTATGCTTGAATATTTTTTCGTCATATTTTCTATTGTATTGTCTTTTTAGCAAACAGTGTAATTTTCAGTTGGCTTTTCCTCGTTACAAGTTGTAAGTTACAACGAACTCACTGTAGTAAAGTTTCAGCTGTAAAAAATAACCTTTTGCGAAGAGTTGGACTCGTGTGTTGTTTGTCGTGATGTTGTTTATATGTTTATGCTTTTGCAATTTGTATTCAAATTTATATTGGCCGTGTATGTTTAGCACTCAGGGGAATGATACTGACGTACAAACCGCGCGAATATTCGACTTTGAAGGACTGGAACTGACGTACAAACCGCGCAAGAGACTAGGACTTTGGCTTCAATTTTATATCTATAAAATGTACTGTCGTTATCATTCCAGATATATATATATATGGAGTTCACTGGCTTACGATATGTGATAGTTGACTAAATTATTTATTAATTTTAGTATGTTGCATGAATAATTAATCACCATTTCATACGTTCGTCGCGTGATGGATTTGATGACCCTTAAATCCGCCCCTGTCAAAATGTGCTACAACTTTACAAGTATTTGATGCAGTTGCACTTCAGAACATCACAAAAAGGTTACTTAAAGTAAGTTCTATACAATATTGTTTGTTTTCATTTACTAAACCTAAGCAGACTTGAGTCTTTTTGAAATTTCATATGAAACTCAATTACAGAAAATCCGTAAATATCCAGAGATTTCAAATTTACTTTTTTAAAGAAACAAGTAAAAATTCTACAATTGTGGCGAAAAGCCATTGCCCATTGCATGAAAAGAAGCAAAATAGCAATGATAACAAATAAGCTAACTTCTCTCTCGTGAACCGTGTAAATGAACTATGATATACTTTTTCGTATAGACTAAAGAGTTTAATCGATCAAACAAGTTTGACGCTGGTAAAAGAACGACCCACATCTGCATTCATTCATGTGTAGCCGACATATATTATAGCTCTTTCGTCGATAGTTATAAATGCATCCTCGTAAGAGCAGATAACTGACAACCACAGTTGACTCGCTGTTATGAATTTAAGGTTTTTAAGGAAATACACACATACATTTTCCTCACTCTTGCCTCAGGAGGGAGTGGGAAATTGTAAAATTTTCGGAAAAGCGGTCAATTTCGGTAAATCTCAGCGGCAAAGGACGAAATGCGCCATTTTTTTGGCGTCATCAGATATCTAAGGCCGCGCTTGAGATAGCCGCTCCAGTTATTATAGAACTCAATGAGTCGTACTCTTGCTAAAACTCCCTATTAGAGAGCTTAAGCAACAACGTTTTATCCGACAACGGCGTCGTGAGACATCGCGAAAGACTGGGACGAGCATGACGCTCCCGCGTATATTTAAAACAGTTAAGCAAAGTTCGTAATAGAAAGCGGCGGTAGAAAGTGAACTTATTTTCATGTCTTCGTTTAAAACAATACGAAACTTTTGTCGCGTGCTTTTTGAAGAAGGTTACATTACCGAATATGAATTGATCATATTGTACAAGGCATATAAATCAAGGAACCCAGAGCTTCCATTTAAAAATTATGAGCTATTTTTTTTAGATAATCTAAGTGAGGATGAATGTAAAGTAGAATTCCGAGCCAACAAACGCGATTTGAGTTTCCTCCAACGAAATCTTAGAATCCCTGAAATAGTCAAGTGTCCACAAAGACAACATGTTCAGGACTGAAGGGGCTATGCATTCTTTTAAATCGTCTTGCTTACCCTTGTCGATTTTCAGACATGATTGGCAGATTTGGGCGACCAGTTCCTGAGTTGTGTATGATTGCAAATACCATCATTGACTTTATAATTATCATAAGCGAAAAATTACAGAATGGAACCATGATCTTTTAAGCCCAGAATATCTACAGGTTTATGCCAATGCCATCCATGAAAAAGGAGCACCTTATGAAAATTGCTTTGGCTTTATTGATGGAACGGTCAGACCAATTTCACGGCCAAAAAAACATCAGCGAATTGTTTACAATGGCCATAAAAAAGTTCACTCTTTGAAGTTCCAGGGTGTGGCATTGCCAAATGGTTTGATTGCACATATTTTTGGTCCAGTTGGTATGCTTATATTATTTAAATGAAAATATTATTGTAAACACTATATTGTACAAGCAAAAACAGTCTATAACTCAGGCAAATACTTTCTATATTACAGAAGGAAAAAAACATGATGCTGGTATGCTGGCTGACTCAAACTTCCTTCAAGACCTGGAACAAAATGCTTTTTCTGTGGATGGGAGACCATTATGCATATATGGGGATCCCGCTTATCCACAGAGGATTCATCTACAAGCTCCTTTTCGGCATGGGGTAATCACAGACAGAATGAAAGAATTCAACAAGCAAATGAGTTCAGTTAGAGTGTCTGTGGAATGGTTATTTGGAGATGTGATCAACTCATTCCGGTTCATGGTCTTCAAAAACCTCAAAATAGGTCTAAGTAGTGTTGGGAAAGCATATATTGTCTGTGCATTGTTAAGACTTCTGTTTGCTGTGTAGCTGCTGGGGTACTCAATTGATTTTGTATTTCTTGGTCATTTCGCTTTACTTCTAGTTCTGCACGACGGATTTCAATTTCCTTGCTTGATCTTTCTCTCAAATATTCGACTAACTCACAACTTCCGCGGCGTACTCTCTTTTAACATCAGAGTTTTGCCCATCAGATTTTCTCTTGCTTGTTTCGCCTATTCGTTCCAAGGCTGTCATCCTTATATCAATAGCATTTGCATTTTCCTTTGATTTGAACTGATGCTACCTCAAGGAAGCTGTCCTCTTTTTGGCACAACTCTTCAATCAAACTTTCTTTCACCGACAGTTCGTCGACATCAATGCCACTTGCCCTTTCTTCTTTGTGCATCTTCTGCTTGAACTTAGCTTTTAAAAGACTCCACGGGTCTCGAACACTTCTCTTGTCTTTTAAAGTAAAGACTTGCGCTTCCGTTTTATTTAAGTTTTCGACAATAGAATCCCATACTAATCCCCGATTGGGGCTTCCCTTTTTGTATTAAAACAGATCACTAACCATCATTTCTCTCATCAACAATAAATCGTGCTCATCTGTCCACTCCATTTTCTTTGAATTGTCAGCCATATTCAATTTTAGAGAGGTTTTAGAGGCAACCTTCAAGCAAGTATTTTCAGGTCGGCGCAGAGGCCCGACGGCGTAAACAAAATACATACAACGCAGAACGGAAATAAAAACAACTTCCTCTTGCCGTTGCCGTCCAGTAAAACGTAGTTGCTTAAGCTCTCTATTTCTAGCAAAAGATCTGCTTAGAAAATCAAATTTTTAAATTTATTTAAGAGCGGTGTAAACTGTTTGAAGAGAAAGCAAAATGTATTTAGGTGATTCGTACCATAGCAAAAGTGAATTTTACTACTCAGAGAGAGTACACTTAATAAAAAAAATTAATTTTCCTCTCATCAAGCCACGTCGAGCAATTTAAAACGCAATTATTTTTCTTTATAAAAATAAGAAATAACTTCACTTAGTCTCAAAAGCATCTTGACGTTAATAGAAAATTACTTCAAACATTTGTTCGAGACATCTCTTTTTCTTCACAAATTTAATTATTAAAAATGACGGTTGTAATTTCAAACTACGTTTTTATTGTTTATTCTGTAAAGAAACAAAACAAATCAACATAGACAAATAATCAGAAAGATAATTTGATATATATCAGTAAATTGAAAACTATATCATCAAATTATACAAGATGTACATCATAGAAATATGCAAAACTTCTGTTTTTCATTAGTGAAGCAAAGTTTTTAACCAGTTCCTTTATGAACATCTACACTATAGATGAATATATTGAAGATATGAATGCGTTTGTTGATACTTTGTCGTAGACTGAGAATTCATCTTTGAAAAATGCCTCATGGAACAGAAATTGTCCTTGTCAACTTCAACTTTTAAATGACGATACAACATGCTATCTCATTTCTCAGTCATTACAAAAGCACAGATAATACAACATTAGGGTTAAAACTCTCCACCGGTTTTCCTGTACATTTCATTAAAACTTTTATTAAATCAGAAGTTTTTAAAATATAAGAAAGCAAAAAAATGTGAATTTGTAATACAAAAGGATGGTAAAGTAAGACCGACACCCCCTATTAAGTCAACAGCAAATGATCGAGCTTCCCGCTTTAATTTCCACGAGATGTGTTACCTAGTCTAATGTACATAACACAGATTGCAATTCACTACAGACGCGGATGTCTCTGCTGTGGGCAAGTTTTTAAATAAACCCCTTGGCAGCGTAGTAGTTGAACAATCACTGAACAAGCTCGCAAAGTAAAAGGTTAAGCAAACATTTCCGACTAAAATAATTTCGGTTTATTAAACTTACCTTTCCTTTATAAACAGTTGGTGCACCACTATTTGAATAACACGACACATCTACAAAATCTTTAGCGCATAATCATCTTACACCAGTAATTTATTTCATATACTTGCTTCTTGTATTCTATGTCATCTGTATTTAATATTCCACTGTTGAAAAACGATTTTGGCAAATTGCGCATGCCACCTTTCAAACAATGCATTTCACAAGTAAAGGTTATCGACTCAACAACGCTTCAACTGGTAAAATTCAGATATCAAAAGACGTGTTATTTGATGAAAGCTCATTTCATCGACCAAAGAAATCCACCATCGTATTACATGGATATGATAAAGATATTGTGACCGAAAAACTCAATGATGAACTATTAGAAGGCAACGAAGAACATGAAGTCGATGAAGAAATGGAAGATAGTTCCAGCAACAGTATGATAGATGAACAACAACTACAACAAATATCAACACGAATACACAAATCTCCTGAAATACATGGTGTGGTGAACACAGATATTTGGTGACAGAACAATGTTGCTATCATTGATGATGAGCCTATCGTCACGATGAACCACTCAATATTAATAAAGCTTTCATAGTCCAGATAAAGCGAATTGGAAACAAACAGTAGACAGTGAATATTCTTCCCACATGAAGAAAAATACTTGGACATTGGTTGATTTACCTAAAGATCGTAAAGCCATAGATTCTTGATGGATATTCAAAGTAAAGTATAATGCAGATGGCTCAATTAAACGTCATAAAGCTCGATTAGTTGCTAAAAGATACTTACAAGAATATCGTTTAGATTATGAAGAAACATTTTCTCCAATAGAAAACATACAACAATTCGCTCTATCTTAGCAATTGCTAAACAGTTAAATTTGGAAGTACATCAAATGGATGTGTCAACAGCATTTCTGAATGGTGAACTTAAAGAAGAAATATACATGAAGCAACCTGAAGGATACGAGAAAAAGGGACAAGAACATATGGTCTGTAAAATAAACAAAAGCTTATACGGCTTGAAGCAATCTGCCGGTGCTGATTGGATACTATTGATCAGCTCATGAAGAAATCTCGTTACGTCCAATCCAAATCTGATCGGTGCCTGTATATTAAACGAGCGGGAGAGAATGTCATGCTTTTAGGCGTTGTATGTCGATGATTTGATTCTTGCATATAACAACAAGAAAATGCTAGAAGACGAGAAAGATATTCTAAAAAAAAAAGCTTTGAAATGAAAGATTTAGGCGAAATTCATTTCTGTATTGGCATTCAAATTCAACGAGAAAGGGAAAAGAAACAGATTTAACTTCATCAATCAAAGTACTTGACGAATATATTGAAGAGATTTGGAATGCAAGACTGCAATCCTCCTGCAAGTTCCGTTGAGTTTTTAACGAAGGTTTTGAGTAATAAAGGAGAGAAGATGAACACAACTAAATATCAAGCATTGATTGGTGCATTAACGTATGCAGTTGCAGCGACAAGACCAGACCTGGCACAAGTACTTTTGAAAGTTAATCAATTCAGCGCCAACCCTAACCAACACCATTGGAATGCTGCCAAACCTATTTTACGATACATTATTATATGGCAAGAGTAATAAGTTTGTCGAAAAAACCAGAAATACCATCCAAGAACGAAACACATCGACATAAAATATCATTTCATCTGCGACAAAGCACTGAAGATAGAAATTGCACTTGATTATTATATCATACAACAAATGGTTGCTGATATGTTAAGGAAACCATTAGGAAGAACTGTATTTCAACGAATGAGATCTAATACGGGAGTAACAAACATTTAAAGGAATAAAGACTAGTTTACATTTTTCGAAAGTGACTGTTGAGATATGAACATCAAAGAAAAACATATAAACAAACAGCATTTTGCATAATTAAGTAGATATGACACATGTCATATCACATGAATGTTATTATTGTAATACTGTTGCTCGTTAACTTGTTTTGTTTTGTTCCTCTATGGCAAGACAAACCTGCCAACAGTGAATCGAGATTTATATGTCGTATTAGAATTACTATAAGTTAATTCGAGATTCGTAAAGTGGTACTTGTAAATTACTGCAATGCGGTGTGAAAACTATATTATTATTGTTGAGTTGTGTATGACAAGATGTATATGACGAGTTTTTTTTATAAACTGTGATGAGATTTATACGACGAGATATATAAGACGAGTTTTTTATGACGAGACTTATATGACGAGTTGTTTTATAAACTGTGACGAGATTTATAAGACAAGTTTTTTTATAAACTGTAACAAAATTTTTTATCGGACGAGATTTATATGATGAGTTTTCTTTAACAACACGAAGTAATGATTTAACAACACTTGTTTGTTTCATAAGCAGTTATTAATTATATGCAAATTTCGGCGGGTTGGTAACTTTGTCTTCTTTCTATCTATACTGTATCGCTCTCACCAAAATGACAGAAATGAGCAATAGAGAAATTACTCAGGAGCTTCTTGGCAGAGTTACAGAGCTGTCTGAAGAACATCACCTGACGTTGACAGTTCTGTAAGCTAAGAAGTGAGAACTATATTTGGACGACATACGACCGCTTTGAATTTGCCAAATGCTGAAACGAGTTGCCAAAGAGAATTAGCGCATCACCCTAATAAAATGGCATCAACAGCTACAACAGAGAATCGCCTCCCAATTAGAAGAATTTCATCCACTGCATTTCAATCGAGGCGCTATTTTCCCGCAAGTAGACCTGCTGCAAGAAGCCGAACAAGGCAAACTCGTTCATCAACAGCAATTGATAACAGGCCATTTTTGAGAGATTTAATCCTATTAAGCGGTCCCAAAGATAATACAGTTCCACGGCAAGGCGCTCGGTTGATGTTGGTAGAAAATGGTCACATGATTTCAGGTTGTCGGTTTTCAAAAGATTTGTCAGCCGCTGCTGTCGAAACTAATATAATGATGGCCTTTGATGGAAAAATTCCACATGGTACAGATATAGAACTGTTAACATCGGTACATTCCACTCTGTTTCGGCAACATTAGCCCTTGGTCAGACATTGGATGGTGTTATCCTCCA